GAGTATTAACACCCCTTAGCTTCTTCTCATTTTTGTTGTTTTTTACCATGTGGAGGTGTGACACTCTTGGCATTCCCCACTGAACAGGAGACTGAGAACAGGCCTTTCTGTTTAAAGCACAGAGTGATGGATACAGTGGAGTCATGCTAACCAGCTATTTAAGTGGGGTGAGGATAGTCACGATGGAGAGCTATGCAAATTACATAGAGGAGTTCTGCTCTGATCAGTCTGAGAAGGAAGCCACCATGTTTCTCAAGCATAACTGTAGCTACTACTAGAGACAAGGGGCTAGAACTAAAGGGACTACTTAGTATTTCTAACAGCTCAAGCTGTTTCCCTCTAGCTCAGAATGCCTTCCTCCCCATGGAAATCTCCATCTTTCAAAGCCAGGCTCAAGTCCTTTGAGACTTGATAAAGACTCTCATCATTGCAACGCACTGGTCATTCTCTAAACTCCTACTGCGGTCTCTACTGTTTGACTAAATCTGTTCAGTATTTAATTGTTTCATGTATTTGTGTCTCTTGACTTCGTTAGATCATGAGCTTCCTAGAGGCAGGGGCCATGTTTCATGGGTTTTATTTTTTTATTATACAACCCCTTTCTTCTATTAAAATACTCTATAGTCTATATTTTAGTATTCATTTCTAAAAGAAAATATGGACATTTTCTTAGGTAACCACAGTTACCTAAACAAAATTAACAGTAATCTCTTGGTATCACCTAATATCTAGCTCATATTCAAATTTACCCAATTGCCTCAAAATGTCTTCTGACATGCTGTTATGAATCAACATCCAAACAAGATCCATATATTGCATCTGATTATTATGACTTTTTTAATAATTTTTTATTGTTATGTTAATCACCATACATTACATCATTAGTTTTTGATGTAGTGTTCCATGATTCATTGTTGGTGCATAACACCCAGTGCTCCACGCAGAACATGCCCCCCTCAACACCCATCACCAGGCTAACCCATCCCCCCATGATTATTATGACTCTTAATTCTCTTTTATTGTAAAGCACACCCCCCTTCCCATTTTGTCAATGATTTTTTTTATTCATTTTTTTAAATTTAAAATCAATTAATTTAAAATCAACTAATACAGTGTATTATTAGTTTCAGAGGTAGAGTTTGTGACTCAACAGCTGCATTTAACACCACCTAGCCATTTTTCCTATTAAGTGTACCACATTTGGGATTTGTCTGTTTCCTCCTAGTCTTAAGAACTATGTTTATTGGGGCACCTAGATGGCTCAGTGGGTTGAGCATCTGCCTTCGGCTCAGGTCATGACCCCAGGGTCCTGGGATCAAGTCCTGCGTCGGGCTCTCTGCTCAGCGGGGAGCCTGCTTTTCCCTCTCCCTCTGCTGCTCCCTCTGTTTGTGCTCTCTCTCTCTGTCAAATAAATAAATAAATAAATAAAATCTTAAAAAAAAAAAAAAAGAGCTAACTTTATCATCCATTTACTCAACAAATACATTATTAGGAGCAGAATATGAACCAGAACTCTATAAAATGCAGTGGCTACAATAGTGAATACAACTATAGTCCTGGCTTAGACAGAAGAAAGCCATGAAACAGCTGTACAAAATATTAACTACTAGCAATTATGATATGTGCTATGAAGGGAAAGTACAAAGTAGTAAGAGAAATTACAGCAAGGGGACCTAACCTACTTTAGGGGTCAGGAAGAGTATTTATTTTATATAGTTCAATGCACCTTGTACAGTGTTAAGTAAATAAACATTCAGTACTCCCAGGCTGGCTGGGAGAGTAAGTTTTCTTCAAATTATCAGCCTTATAAACTAAAGGACACATCACCATCTCTGTGGAGTTATGAACATTAGATGTGATTCTCTTAGGATTCCATGTTAAAGAAAACTGAAAAGGCAAAGAAATGGTTTTCCCTAGTGAAATAAACGATTTTAGAAGAGAAGAAAAATTCAGGAAGTGGCTATATAAAATCAAAGAAAAAAACCCCATTTTCTGGACCACCAGTTTAGATATTAGGACAATGGATTTTTGACAAGGAACAGAATAGATATTATTGAAGCCTAGAAAAATATGCTTAGTAGAATATCTGACATACTGCTCAAAAAGGCTTTTAGGTTAAAGTTGAGGAAGGAAAATTATCCAGGCACACTTTAAGACTGGATATAATGGATGGAAACAGACAGAACAGAAAAACAGTAACAGAGAAGATAAATAATAACCCAGATTTTCATTTTAAAAGCTTCTAGCACTGTTTTTAAAGTATTATAAATTACTTTTATACAGAACTCTCTACTTGAGATCAATGTAAATGTTTAAGTCACCCTTGTCCACATCATGTTAGTCTAGTTGGGGGTAATAGCATTGAAAAGAAATACCTTCTGCTATGGATTGAACTGTATTCTCCACCCACAGCCAAATTCATGTGCTGAAGCCCTAACCCTCAGTCTGACTATATAGAGAGTCTTTAGGAGGTAATTAAGGTTAAATGAGATCATAAGGATGAGGCCTTAGTCTGACAGAACTGGTGTCCTTATAAGAAGAGGAATAGAGGGGACACCTGGGTGGCTCAGTCGGACAAGCATCCAACTCTTGATTTCGGCTCAGGTCATGATCTCAGGGTCGTTGAGATCGAGCCCTGTGCTGGGTGTGGGCATGCAGCCTGCTTAGGATTTTTCTCTCTCCCTCTGCCCTTCCCCCACCCCCCCTTTCTTCCTCTCCAAAAAAAAAGGAGGAAGAGAGACCAAAACTCCCTTTCAGACATGTGAAGACACAGTGAGAAGGCGGCTGTCTGCAAGTCAAGAAGAGAACCCTTGCCAGAAACTAAAACTGCTGAACCTTGATCTGGGATGTCTAACCTCCAGAACTGTGAGAAAATAAATATTCAATGTTTAAGCCACTCCATCTAAAGTATTTTGCTGTGATAGCCCAAGTTGACAATTACACTTTTCTAAATTTTTTCCTCTCTAGTATCTAAATCTTAAAGCTCTCTCCTCTGCATGATTTGTAGAATATGTCTGCACAATTTGAAGGATACATTGGAAACTAAAGCTATGTGCATAAAAAGGATACCTTGACACCTAACCAAGTAGACAAAAGAAAAATAATTGGTTAAGGAACTTCCTAATCAAGGGAACAAAATGAAACAGATGGTTTTATTTGCTTGCATTTACTTTTACACTCTTGAAATTTCATATTTTTTCAATACAAATAGGAGCTCTCTTCAGGTGACCAGATCTGGGTATTTTCAGCTGTGGTCAGCTTCTCTCTGAATCCCACTAGGGTCTGGTGATGCAGAGTAAACAAGGCTATAAATCAACTGCAATGCATTTAATACCTCAATGCATTGCAAATTGATCTGGAATAGGGATCAGTTCAAATCGTTTTTTAAGTGAAATTGTTCCTTTCCCCTGAAGGGAAGGAATGGAAGTTAAAGATAGCAAGTCCTAAAGTTATATGGGATTCAGAAGTGTGGCTATTTGTTAGGATAGTCAGAGGCCAGGTTTCTTCAGGTGAGATTCTTCCGTTACTTACCAGGTTGGAACCGTGGATATTTAAAAACACATCCTGGTGGCTGGCATTAAATCTGAAATCTGGTGGGCAACTTTTCAAGAAATAAAAGCTACAGACAAAATAGCTTTAGTTCCATTCAGCACACTGTGGGAAATGCAGCTAATGGACAAGCATTACTATGACTGGCAAGGCGAGGTGCCAATAAATGAGAGGAGCAGAGATTCAAACCACCACATAACAGCAACATTTCCTAAGCTTATTCCACTAATTTGTCAAAGTAGAACATTATCTGAAGTGAAAGAAAAATGAGGTTGGAAAGCACAGGGGAAGGAACTATTTAAAAGTAAAAGCTATGCTTCTTTCTCTATTGGTTAGTTATCTCTGCTTTGAGTAATTATGGTTTAATTCTACCATTTCCTGATACCACACTTGGTTTTACTAAAGGCAGTGTTTTCTCTTTTTCATATGATAAGCAGAGAGCTACTTCCGGTAGGACAAATTTCCAATTGTTTATGTCTGCCTTGCCTTTTTCCAGTAGGAAGAAATGAAGTCTAGTCATTACAGAAGGAAAGTGTGGAGTTCTGATATGCCACCCCTCACAAAGGGATGGAGGGCTATATTCTCTGCTTACCCTTTTTTTCCCCTGAAGAAGATAAACTTCAAGTGTTATCTCCCATCTTTTCTCCATCTTTAACTCTCAACTCTCAATTGTTTCTTATAATTTTAAACAAACTGTTAAACAGGGCAATACTTGTACTCTCTTACTTGGAGTGGAATGAAAACTATCCCATCATAAAGGAAGAATAGATTCACTTATTGTATAATTAAAATCAGTCTAAAATTCAATAAATAATGCCTTAAACTCTATTTCAGATATGCTTTTTAGTATAATGGTTAATGTAATAGGGTAATGGTTCTCTGTGTAATGTAATACAGCATGGACTCTGGGACTGGACTACATGGGTTCAAATCCTATTTCCATTACTTACTAGCTGTACAGATTGGATAAATTAACTTAATCTCTCTATGCCTCTGTCTCTTCATCTGTAAATGGAGAACACTAATAGTACATCACAGGTTGTTGTACCTGGCAAAGAGAAAGCACTATACATATGTTAACTACTATCAAGATTATTTCAGAGAATATCTAAAGGGCATTACGTTAATCGCCCTACTCTCTGTTAGTACTATTAAACAGTTACATACAAAACCAAGTGAAACTTTTTCTGTCTTAGGTCACATAAAACACTCCTCTTGCTAATCAGATAAGGAAAAAGAATAAGAATGAAATCCTTTCTTCAAAATTAGCCTTAAATGACACAAAGATTTCACCAATAACATAAGTATACACTTGACTTTTAGAGGCAAGACATTCTATTTAAATCCACGTTTCAATGAAAAGAGTCAAATGAAAAACACATACAATAATAGCAGCTTATTCTAAAACATTGACAGAACCTGAAACATTGCTTTATGAGCAAAATACATACTTCTGGGGTGATCGGTTATCAACTTCAGCCTTCAGTCGTAAATTCTCCCTCACCAGGCCACCATTTTCCAATTTCAATTTTTTATTTGCCTTTAAAAAAGAGTTGAAAATAATTAAGCACGAACTAAAACAAGTGCCTTACAAAAATTATGTCATGAGCCATCTGTATTTTTTAGAGTGATATCAGAAAATTGAATACTAGAACATGGTCCTCAGAAACTTAAAATCACCACTGGGAATGACTTGTGAAACTGTGAACACAGCCAAGCATTTTTAATCCATAATCCCCAAGCACTTTGCAATTCTCCTATCCAGGGAAATAAACAGCTATGTTAGTTAGCTTAGCGTCATTAGGGGACTATACTAATGGCAAATATTTTTTTTTCCTTTTTCACATAACTGAATATTCTAAGCATGGTAACATTAGACTATACGCAATTATTTGCAAAACTAATGCTAAAAGTTAATTCTCATGAATTATGAGCTGTAAGACTGATTTTGGGTTGCTACTTAAAAATAGCTTTTTAGTGATAACAAATCTAATATAATTAAACCACTTGCTTGCTTTCTTCAAAAGGCTTTCCCAAATGCCTTGGCTCACAACTTCTGGGACTCTCAAAATTGGGTCAATATTTTCTAATAAAATTCTAAGAATTCTCTTTTGATTAAAAAAAATCCCAACTATGACTTTCTTTTTGAATTGTATGATACCTAAAAATTGTCTAACAAAACATTAATTGCTAGAAAATTTAGAAGTTGAATACTGATTCTAGACAAAAAGTAGTGTGCCTCAATTTTAGAGTCTTCTTAAAAGCTATTTAAATTCCTCAGTCATGGCATTTTTTAATCCCAAAGAATAACACTCCCTAGCCTAGAAACCAAACTTACTAACTTGGCAAGAGAATGTATTTTGTTTGACGAGAACACTGACATTTAAAACATTTTAAAGTGAATGGGTCATGAAAACTGTCAACAAAAAGGCTTAACCCAAAAGACTTAAAAACAGATTTCAAAAATTTGACCAATGTTTTTGAATAATTTCCAGAACTTCTGACTATACTGCTCGTCCACCCACACACAAATACCCCAAGAGGATGACAAGAGAGGAAGGGCAAAAAACATTCTCTGGGCACAAAGCCTAGCTAGCTCTTGTACTTACACTCATGGAGGTTCTTTTTGGGCTCTTGAGCAGCTACTTATCCTCATGGCTGCAAACTAACCAGTACTGTGGAGGGTTAATTCTTTAAGTGACTGATAAACACTATTACTGCCCCTCTGAAGATACAAGGAAAGTCATTTACTTCCTCATACACACACACAATGAATTAAGCTCTCAAACACAGCACCATATTAAGAGCCACTTAGTGAATGCGTTCTGATGATGATGACAAGCTTAAATTAGAAACTCATTTGACTTCTCTTCCCCATCCCTTCCATACTGTATCACTACATTTCAAGGTCTTTCATCAGTCCTGTGGCTCTCTAATAACCTCATTATGGGCTGGCTGGTTCCTCAACTATCAGAGGTATTTTCTTTTCTTTTTTTTAAACCATCAGAGGTATTTTCAGTTTAGGTGGGTCAAGATTACAAAGCGCAAAGTTCTGCCCATTTGTTGCACCTAGGACTTCACATAACTATTTTGCATTTGCAATACTGATTGCGTAATGATACTGATCTCATAATGGTTTCAAAACTTACCTAGTCCTGGAAACATCAGAAAACAAGTCCATTTCACTCATGTTGTGTAGTCTGAATCTTTTGTACTCCTGTATTTGATTTATAGTATGTTATTTTGTACCTCACATTCAAATTTTGCTTCCACGTTTTTTAATTCATTTGTGCCCCTGTTTATTGCCTAGTACTACCTAATACCACCACTAGGCATCCAAAATGGGCTTGTTAAATATCCCAAATAATTCTGAGGTCTCAGTGTAGCTTTGGGTATTGAATTTAACATGTGACCTTTAAAAGAGCAAAGAAAAACTGTGTTTTATGTATTTTTCTTTCACTTACACCCCCTACACCACTTTTACAAGCCCAGAATAATGTTTTCATACAGATCCTCATCTTCAAAGAAGCATTTATTGCCAAAAATTTAAATGAAGTTTAATAACTATAAAAGAGACCACGTAGAACTTAATGATAGCTCAAGGAGACGAAGGGAAGTTAAAGGGGACATAGTAGATTAATAAATACTATAACTTTCCATCTGTCTTTCCTTTATATATCCTCTTCTTGGACAAACCAACAGGCTAATGTTGGCCTTCAATACCCAAAGAAACTACACACTTCCCCTAAACTTGTAACAAACTCAGTGTAATTCTATCCATAGTTTCTTTTTTCTCTGAAAGCACTAAGTTCCCTTCTTTCACTATGGCCTTTCCTGAGCTCAAACATTTATTTTATAGGCAGGTATGTGAAGATGACTTAGTATTTACACTAAGTTGCACACTTCTATGCTACTCAGCTTTCCTGAGGATCCGGGGATCAGTATGTGGTGGTAGTTCTTTAAGGAGCTCATTAATGTTTTCAAGGAGGCAGGACTCAATAATTCAACACAGTAACAATATTTTAAGTGAATGCAGACAGGTTAAATGGGAGGCTGTGGACATGGATACCACAAAACCAACTCCATTCAGCACAGCAGGACTCTGCTGTGGAGGACTCCGCTGTGGATAAACTTGAAATGAAAGCCAAAGGCTGGTCCCTCTGGCCAACAAAACTCTACAGCACTTGATTATAACAACCTCTCATACTGATGGCATGGATCTCATCTCTTTTCCTAGACTGAAAAAGCCTAGAGGTTGCCTTTTCCACCTATGCTTTATCTTCTTGGGTGAAAGGAAGAATAATTGAAAAAAATGAACCCACTTCATAGGCTACAATACTTTCTTACATGGAGTATTCCAAAGCAGCTACTCAAAGCTTCCTTGGAATTAGTCATTCAGTCTTTACTTACAATATTAAAAATCAGAGAATGGTAGTATTAGAAAAGGTATGTTCCAAACCTTCCATTTTATAGGTAGAGAATTGAATATGTTTGTTTTTATGCATATAGGGCAGTCACTGACATAAGCTTAAGAAAAAATTAAGGCAAACCACAAAGAGGGGAAATAGAAACACATCCTTTAAACTGATGTCACTCTTCTACAAGAAGATGCAAACTCATACAAAAGCACTATAGTCTCCAATTATGATCACAAATGGAATGACCTGATATTTCTTGTCAGCTAATGACATTTAAGGAAAAAAGTTCTACTGCTTATAAATGCTCATCCAGAGATTTTTGTCCTTCCCCAAAAATCTTCTAATGAGTGAAGATAATATGGCTATTTTACTTTTGAAGGTACTTAAAATACAGAATTTTAAAAACAACTACAGTAGAATTTTAAAAATAACCACAACTTACTTCCTTTAACTTATCCACATCATCTTTTACTTTTTCATAGATTTCATTAGCTGTTCTAAGTTTTTTCTTCCACTCTGCTACAGTTTCTGGGTCAATTTTACTTGGATTATCTGCAACTGGATGCTTGTCTTCATTCTGGTTGCCTTGCATCAAGGTTAAAGGATCCAGAATAGTCTTGATTTGTGACTCTAGGCTAAGATTTTTACTCTTAAGATCTTCTACTTCTTTCTGCAGACAATCTATTTCATCCTGAAAAAGAATTGCACGGCCATTAGATAGATACAGATCCTAAACACAAACATATGCTAAACTGAAGTCAATGTGTTTTTAAACTTTATACTCAAAATTCTGTAGGTACACAGATTCATTATGCATCAGAATAGCTCTGTAGGCAGAAGTCACATACAGCTGAAATTCTCAAAATGTATTTGACCCTGGTAAAAGCTGGCATTTCCACATTTTAATTCAGTGATAGTTTGTGGTTAAAAAAATAAAAATGTTGGGGCACCTGGGTGGCTTAGTTGGCTGAGCATCCGACTCTTGATCTTAGCTCAGCTCTCGATCTCAAGGTTATGAGTTCAAGCCCTGCACTGGGTTCCACACTGGGCATGGAGCCAACTTAAAAAAAAATAAAATAAATAAAATAAAAATAAAAATGTCAAATCTTTGATTTTATTGAAGAAAGCCAGAAAACAAGACAAGTCACGTGAATTCAACAAGGAAGTAGATTCCGCAGAAGAAAATTCTTAGGCATGTTTAATTGCTTTAGTAAGGGGAATTAAAAAAAGACAGTGTTGATCAAGGTCACAATAGTTTTGATGTTTACATTTTTGCTTCTGCATTTGAAGTAGAGTGTAACCCTATACCATGTCCTTCCACTTTCCTTCAGAATATGTGTGGTTAATTTTTAGTTTTACTTTAACTTTTCTATATTCTGGTTCTTCAATTACCACTGTGACTATTTCAAGTATTAGTTTTCCCCATCTGGAACTGCTGTCTTAAATCCAATTACTAAACATTTGGTCTAGAACTCTTTTTTGTGATACCATTTATTAATCTATAATAGATATTTCATCTTAAACTAAGATTGTTAGAAATTCTGTTGTTAGAAAATAAACTCCAAGTAGTTCAATATGCCAGTGAACTCTTAAAGGATTAATCTGATTAATACCTAAGTATGATAAATATTAATCATGTAAGAATACATTTTAGAGTTAACAGACGGTACTATTTATTATTTTAAATTACAGTACATGTCAAATTCAATTGCGTTATTTAAAATAAGAAAGTAAGTTTGTTGTTGGAATTAATACATTAATAAACAAATATGAATTGGAAAACATATATGAACGAACATTTATGCATTTATTTATGCCCCACTTTATTTCAAAATATTTTTGAGGAAACTGAAGCAGTTTCCATGTATATACTTTAATTTAAAAATATTTTGTGTTAAAATAAGAGATTGATAACATCCCCTCTCTTTAGTCAACATAACAACTGGGTTTAATGGCTACTATTCAAAACCATGCATATTCCAGGGGTGCCTGGGTGGCTCAGTCCCTTAAGCATCTGCCTTCAGTTTGGGTCATGACCCCAAGGTCCTAGGATTGAGCCCTGCATTGGGCTCCCTGCTGAGCAGGGAGCCTGCTTCTCCCTCTCCCACTTCCCTGCTTATGCGCGCTCTCTCTCTCTCTCTCTCTCTCTCTCTCTCTCGCTATCAAATAAATAAATAAAACCTTAAAAAAAAACAAACACCCAAAACATACATATTACATTAGCATGAAGCTAATTTGGAAAATTTCCATCACCATATCAAATCATCTTCACAAAAAAGAAAACTACTGCATGATCTCACTTATATGTGGTATCTAAAAAACCTGGATATATATAAGCAGAGAGTTAAACAGTGGTTACCCAGGGTGGGGAGGTAGGGGAAATGCAGAGGTGGGAGAAAGGAGATGGGTCAATATGTACGATGTTGTAGTTATGTAGGATAAATAAGTCTAGAGCTCTCATGTACAGCATGATGACTACAGTTAATACGGTACTGAATACTGGAATTTGCTAGCAGAGTAGATTTCAGGTGCTCTCACCACAAAAATAAAAGTATGTGAGGAGATGGCTATGTTAGCTAGCACAATCATTCACTATGGATATGTATAGCAAAACATCATGTTGTGGGCACACAAATATATACGATTTTTAAATTTTATTATTTGAGACAGAGACAGAGAAAGAGCTTGAGCACGAGCAGGGAGACCTACATGGGGCTCCATCCCAAGACCCTGGGCCTATGAAGTCAAACACTTAATCAACCGAGCCCCCCAGGTTCCCCAAATATACACAATTTTTATTAAAAAACAAAAACAAGGGCGCCTGGGTGGCTCAGATGGTTAAGCGTCTGCCTTCGGCTCAGGTCATGATTCCTGGGTTCTGGGATCGGTCCCGCGTCGGGCCCCAGCCTGCTTCTCCCTCTGCTTCTCTCTCTCTCCCTCTGTCTCTCATGAATAAAAACAAAATTAAATAAAATTAAAAAAACAAAAACAAAAACAAAAACAATAACCTCACTGGTTAACATGCAAAAAAAAAGAAAAAAGGAAAAAAGCGTATTTCACACCAAAATCTCTTTGCTGGTAGTTGACATAGGTATATTTATTTTACGAAAACTAATCAGGCATAGAATTATCAGGGAATTTATAGACAAACAAAATGGAATGAAAGTTACAGTCACTGTTTACCAGAGCATTCATAATGCCCTGTGGGGGCTGGAAGACTGACTTTCACAAGAGGGTTTCTTTTCTCTCCCAACTTGAGGAGCAAATACTTACAAAATGATGTGTCTATTGAGGACAAATTTGAAATTAAAAGAGAAAAAAAAAATGCTTATATTTGTTCCTGTCTTCTATTTGAAATAGAAAAGGGAAAAAGAAAAAAAAAATTATCAAATAAGATATTAAGTAGGCTCCATACCCAACATGGGGCTTGAACTCCTGATCCTGTGGATCAAGCGTCACATACTCTACCGAGCCAGCCAGGGGCCCCTCAAATAAGATTTTTTTTTTTTAAAGATTTTAATTATTTATTTGACAGAGTGAGACACAGCAAGAGAGGGAACACAAGCAGGGGAAGCGGCAGAGGGAGAGGGAGAAGCAGGCTTCCCAAGGAGCAGGGAGCCCGATGTGGGGCTCGATCCCAGGGTCCTGGGATCATGACCGGAGCCGAAGGCAGACGCTTAACGACTGAGCCACCCAGATGCCCCCAGATAAGATATTTTTAAAATAGCATTTAAAATAAGATTTCATTGGATGTTTACTCTAAGAAGTCCAGAGACTGAGATAGCTAAGTTTTAGCTTGAATTCAGTGTTGTCCTCATTTTAAATTATAATTATTATTTACCTCATACTCTTTGTGGAGTAACTCAAGCCTAGTTTTCCGAAGGTGCTTCCTGACTGTATGGCTTAACATAGGTTCACTTTCGCTTGTTCCTCCTACAAGGGGAAAAAAAAAATCTAACTTTTATTCTGATTTAGGCAGTATGAAAACAAAGATAAACGGTTTTCTTATTGTCTTATATAGTTCTCCAGCTTAATTTCTACCCTTTCCCTTATATACACACTTGGGGCTGCCACCTAGGCCTTTTCTCTATCTCAATCTAGAGAAAAGATAAGTATCAAATAACGCCATAATACCTTCAGTAAAATATCATGGGTGTTTACTTACCTGTGTATCTTATTATAATAAACTCAATGAAGGCAAAGGCTATATTTTGTTAATTATCACATTTGGACTACTGCAAAATTTGAATACCAGCAACTGTTAAGTGGTAATAAAACTAATGATTATATTTATATTTAACCAATTAATATATTATCCATATTATCAATTTAAATTTCACATAAATAATTATCCAATATGTTTATCTATATATACATATGTGTTCATATTACGATATATATATTATTATAACCAAAGTATTCAAACATACCTAGTTACTGGTAACACAAATGAAAAGATTAATGCATCTTTTAACTGAATCTAACAACCCAGTTACAATGGATTATGAATCACAGCATTAACTGTATGCCCGTAACGCAATACAAATACACTCAAAATGAATTCTTTCTGAGAGCTCGTCACCTATGCTGTGGTTACTTTCTTTGTACTTCTTAGTATCATGACAGCAAAGGCACTTTACAGATGTTCTTTTTCAGGACATTCTATCCAAATACAAGATGAATGAACTATTTTACTTGAGTGAATTTATGAAATATCACTTAGATATGAAGGCAGGAGAGGGTATGTGAAGAGAAGCTGGGGAAAACACATTCAAATTATTTTAATCATCAAAGTTCACACAGAAAAATGTTCCTCTACCAGATTTCACCCAGGTACCAAGAAAGAAACCTTGGAATAATCTCTGATTCCTCCTTTGGATTTCTTAGCTCCAAAGTCCTACTAGTTCTTCTTTTGTTCTGATATTTATCTTCCTTTCCATTTGCACTGTAAAAATCTACTAAGTCCATTTTCCCTAAATTGGGATTATTACAATGACTTCTTACGCTTTCTGCAAAGTGTTTTCTATACGTAGCCAATGATAGATTCACTTTCAATTTTTCCTAAAGCAGAAACAAGTAAAAATCATTTTAATTTCTGCAATCTAAGAATGATAACTTAATGAAGAGAATAAAATCCAAACACTAAAAACGCTCTTTAAATGTTTAATCTTTCAAGGATCTTCTAGTTCAAGTTTTATCTCCCTTTTACCCACACTGGTATCGCACTGAATGTTCTTTTTTGTCCAAAACCAGACTCACATTCCCCCTTAACTGGGCTAGAGCCTCCTACCTGACATACTCACATTGTGTCTCCCCCCTTCAACCCAACTCACATATCATTCCTCAAGCACATTTTGGATCTTGCCACTCCCTTGTTCAAAACCATCGGCTCACTCTACTCTTCTTTTCACCCACAGAGCAAGTCCCTGAATTAGTTTATTATTCAAGATTCTCTGCACTAAAGTCTCAATTTATATTTTCAGTCTCATTTCAGTAGTCAGACCAAACTTAACTACTGATCATTTCTAAAAACATTCTTTGTGTTTTCCTACTTCTAATCCTTAGTTCATGCTATTCTCTCTGTATAAAATGCCCTCCCTAATCTTTCCCAGTTGAAATTTTATCCATTCTTAAATCTCTTAAGGCCACGTGCTTTATGAAGCCTTTCTTAATATTCCCAGCTGAACTTCCTTGCCTGAACTCTATGGGCCTCTTTGACCTTTAGCACCTGCTCCTTTAAACCATTAATATTTTGGTTCACATGCATAGCCTCTTACCATGTTAGTTCCACAAGGCTCTAAGATTTCTCATAGTGGCTTGTGCCCCTCATGTGTTCATTTACAGATTATACAAATGACCAATCCATCCGTATGACAGTGGCAAAATGACATCCGTGAAAATTGTCTATTTCAGTCTTTCTCCAAATATACACTATTTAGAAATTGTTTCAAATCTGTTTTTATGCGTTTATAAAATAGGCCCTTACCAATAATCTCTTTGCAAGGATTTTCAGGCGTGATGGGGACTCTGCAAGCTGGACACTGGCTATTATTCTTCAACCACAAATCGATACAAATTGAACAAAATACATGGTTGTTGATGCATATGACAGGCTGGCGTACCTTTGAAAAAAGAAACACTACTTTTAGTACAGGGCAATAGTCATAACTGGGAGAATCCCAATAAGTTTAGTTTAGAGCAAATAGTTTCTCTAGAGTACAGCAGAGTACGTGCTTTAAGAGGAAATTATTCAGGATTTATAAAAACACTGGTTTATAATTTAAACAGCAAACAATGCTGACAGAAATACTGACATGCACTAAATATAAAAATCTTTGACTCCATTTATACAAGCACAAATACTAATACTTTACATTTATATAGTCTTATATTTTACAAAGGGCTTTCACATTACTTTCTCTGTGTTTTTATTTTGTTTTAAATAGTCCTGTGAGGTAAACACAGTTAAATATACCTCACAAGGAAACCAAATTGTGAAGAAATTAGGCGGCTCGGTCAGGATTAACTAGGTGTTCTGTGTGTAGCTGTTTTATAAGACAGAAAATAAAAGAAAGAAGTTACTTTAGTTTTCTATCTGATGTTATGTTTGTTTACACATTTAATGTCTATCTCTCCTATTAGAAAGGAAGCTGCATGAGAACAAGAACTTCCCTCATTTCATTCATTCCTAAATCTCTGATGCCTAGAAGACAGCCTAGTACACAGTAGGTACTCAATAAAAACTCGCTGGATTAGTAATTGCTATTAAGACAGTATTTAACATTAATTAGGGAACTGTCAGAGGAATAATAACTTAGTATTCTTCAAGAAGCAAAAATTTTAAAATAAAAACCGAAATAACATGGAAATGCTTAGGCTTTCACTTGATTCACAAGGTAATGTTACTGTGGACTCAAAATACTTTATAGCATTTTCAATAGTTTCCTGTTATAATAATAATAAAAATACCATTTTAGAGTCCTTCTACACTCGAGATCAGAAGATTAAGAGAAAACAGAGAAAGTAGAGGGAGAAGAGACAGAACCACCACAAACCACTTTTTAAAAATTTTTCCAGGTTTTTTTTTTATTATGTTCAGTTAGTCACCATATAGTACATCGTTTTTGATGTAGTGTTCAATGATTTATTAGTTGCATATAACACCCAGTGCTCATCACAACACATACCCTCCTTAATACCCATCACCCACCACCTCCTCCCCCAACCCCCTCCCCTCTGAAACCCTCAATTTGTTTCCTCACTGATTTCCCTCCCTTCAGTTTTCCCTTCCTTCCCCTATGGTCCTCCGTGCTATTCCTTATGTTCCACATATGAGTGAAACCATATGGTAATTGTCTTTCTCTGCTTGACTTATTTGACTTAGCATAATCCCCTCAGTTCCATCCATGTCGATGTGAATGGTGGGTATTCATCCTTTCTGATGGCTGAGTAATATTCCATTGTATGTATGTACCACATCTTCTTTATCTATTCATCTGTTGAAGAGCATCTCGGCTCCTTCCACAGTTTGGCTATTGTGGACATTGCTGCTATGAACACTGGGGTGCATGTGCTATGTCTATATCTTTGAAGCAGATACCTAGCAGTGCAATTGCTGGGTCACAAACCACTTTCTGCAGAGAAAACACTTACGCTGCTCTATGTCTGCCTCAGAAAGATAGTGTGTATTCATTAATTTGAAAGGGGTGTCTACCTTAAAGAAATCACAGATGTATGGCGATCCAGACAGGCAGGAAATCATTTTAAGTGTCACTGTAAAGAACTCCTTGGTCTTAGTGTGGCTTTCTAAACACTGAGATGCTCCCTTGATTATGCACATTAACATATGAAAACTAAACAGAAAAGATGATTCAGCATTCATTTAGATTTCCTCTTGGAGAAACAAATTCTAATTCATTCAGTTCAACTAATCTGAATGAATGAATGAATGAATAAGACATGAAGGACAGCTTCTCATACTCTTCTTCCAAAGTGCTCCTACCTACAGCAAGGAGTGAATGCTTATCTAGAAGGTATTCCTGGTCAGAGTCTCAAGAGGCAGACAAGTCTAAATTTCCTTTACGGGTCCTGTTTTTTCCTAAAAAGTCATGTAATTCGTCCAAGTTCACCATTATATATTTGTGGGTGTTTTCATCTTTAAAGTCATGAAATGTTTTAAGAACAAAAAACGTCTCAAACTAAGTACCAGAAAGATATTGCCCAATCTATTCTATAGCTTCCTGCAACACACACACACACACACACCCTAAATTCCTACAATACTCCTAGAAGTATGTGTACCCCTAAATTAAGAAACTCAAGTAAAGAAAGAAAAGTTATGTCCTTGGACTTTAAGAGCAGTGATATAATTTCTTTTTTTTAAGTCATGCACTCATCTAAAATGGATGAAAGCCAATGGTCAAAACATGAAACTGTGCACATTTAAAAAGATTCAAGATGCTCTCCTACTTCTTAGAGGCTTCCCGCATTAGAAGCACATTTAAAGGCAATCAGTATTTTCTATGTAACTGCTTCCACAACAAAGGTTAAATATCTCCCCAATCTAAAAAATGGTTTTGGATAACTCAGTGGTTGGTGCAATCATTAACTAAGGGGAGAAAGATGGAGGAAAAGAAGGTCTGAGAATCACTGGCATAAATATGATGGCATTTATTTTTTATTTTTTATTTTTTTAAGGATTCTATTTATTTGACAGAGAGAGACACAGTGAGAGAGGAAACACAAGCAGGGGCAGTGGGAGAGGGAGAAGCAGGCTTCCCGCCGAGCAGGGAGCCTGATGTGGGGCTCGATCCCAGGACCCTGGGATCATGACCTGAGCCGACGGCAGATGCTTAACGACTGAGCCACGCAGGCACCCAATATGATGGCATTTAAATCAACAGGACTGGAGGAGATCCCTCCATGGGCAGAGTAGCTTGAGACAAGGCATTCCAGCAAGCAGAGGAAGGAAAAGGAGGAATTGCCAGCAAAGGGAACTAAGAAAGAGGGGCCTGTGCCAGAGGACAGGAGAGTACGGTCTTAAAGAAGCCAAGAAAAGAGATTTTCAAGAGGAAGACAATGGCCAAGCATGTCAATAAGAGAATGAGCTTGGGGTGCCTGGATGGCTCAGTCAACTAAGCGTCAGACTCTTGATTTCAGCTCAGGTCATGACCTCAGGGTTATGAGATCAAGTCCTGTGTTAGGCTCCTCACTGGGCACGGAGCCTGGGAAAGGGAAGGAAAGGGGAGGGGAGGGGAAGGGAGGGGAGGGGAGGAGAGGAGAAGAGAGGAGAGGGGAGAAGAGAGGAGAGGAGAGGAAAAAGAATGAGCCTGATATGGAAAGAGAAATGACTATACGATTAAATTACATGAAGTCATTGTGATCTGTTACTGACTAGTACTGCTTCAGTAAATGGTAAGAATGGAAACTTGATTGAAGGTTGAGAGAGACAGGGAAAGGTTAAGTGACAACAGAGAATATAGACAATTCCTTCATGTTTTGCTGTGAAGGAGTGAGCATAAGAATTAAGACCATGGTAAGAGATGCCAATGAGAATGACACAGTAAAGAGGGGATATTAATGACAGAGGAAGAAGAGGAGGGATTAGAGCCATAGGCAGCAAAGTCCCTAAGAAGTCAAGAGGGAATGAAATCCAAAGCACAAAGCAAAGGTTTTGGCTTTTACGGGATTGATGATCTGTCTTTCATTGTAACAAAAGGGAAGGCCAAGGGTATGAGAACAAATGCAAAGGGGTTAGAAGATCTGTTGATGGAAAAATGAGAGAACTCATGTTCTAACTATTCCAATTGCTTATATTTTAATCATTAAATATGAGGTGAGGTTCCCAGCTGAAAGTGAGAAGTGGGTAGGGATATCAACTTGAGAAAACAGAATAAAGCAGTATTTTGAAAAGGGAGAAAGTAAATTTACTAGTAATTTACATATAGCAGGACTGCCAAACATTGCTGACTTCCTATTTGAGATCTGTGATTTTTACTATAAACAAAAACCAATTAACACAGGTGTTTATTTTTCTTACCAATTTTTACCTGTTCAGTTTCAGGCAGGAAGCAAATAAGTAGATGGGTTTACCCAGAGTTGGATTTTTGCCAAGAAGAAAGAGACACACGAGGGACTGATGATAATAAATGACCATGGTTAACAAGGGACATGAGTATATGAATGGTAATGATGACAGTGAAAAAGTGATATTCACAGAGTCAACGAATTGGTCTTGATAAGGCTGAAGTAATGCTGGAGAGTAGGTATGATGAAAAGAGGATCAGAGTGAGATGCTTATAGTCAAAATACCAGAGTTGGTACAGCTGCTTTCTTTAATGTTTTTTTCCTGGGCCATTTTATCTGGCATAGTTCTATTTTCTCTCTTAATCTCATGTATCACATGATGTTAACATCTTTTCTATGACAACTCCTGAGAATCCTCTTGTAACTGGACCTCAGTAAGTGGCAGAGCTTAGGTTTTGAGAGACAAACCTGGGGCTAACTCCAGCTGGGCCACTTGAGCTGTTTGACCTTGGGTAAGCCGTTTAGTTACAATGAGCATCGGTTTCTGTCTCTGAAGATAATGGCTTTACTTAGTATACTTTTCATCCAGGCATTAAGATTTAATAATGTAAAGATACAAACACAGAGGGTTCCAGATAGCAATCCCTCAAAAAAAGAAAAAAAGAGAAAGAAAAGGTAACAGTATTACTATATCTGTGCCTTGGAGCCAACTCCACATAAGGATCTTGTAGCTGCCTCAATTATAACATGTCCAAACCCAAACCTGGCTTCCTCCACACATTTGCTCCTCCTCCTGCACTCCTTCTTATCTAAGGTAATGGCACTACCACCTCGTTACTTGAACTAAAATACTCAGAGCTGTCTGTCTCACCCTTTTCACTTAGCCTCACCATCCAGTTGGTCATCAAATCGTGGTATCATGTATCAAGTCTAAGTGGCCAGAGATTTTAAGATGGACCAATATTTTCTGTACCACTAAGAAAAAAGTATGAAAAATGTGCCAATTACAACTGTAAGATGCCATCACTTGATACAGCCAGGTTTCAAAAAAGTTATAGTATGAAAAATTACATCCTAGAATTGTCAAAATTTGGCA